ATGGCTGTCATGGAGGCCAGGTAGGAAGAGGCTGCTGTAGGGCGTCTGCTGGCCGCAGCCCATCCAGACATGGCCGTGCTGCCGTTGGTATGCTGGGGCTCTGAAGTCTGTCCCACTGTGAACCCAAGGTCACATGGGGATGGAGGTCTCTTTCTATCATGGGAGCCAGTGTGGATGCTGTGCCAAAGGTGAGGTCTTGAGGTGGCATAGAGTGAGGGCGGGTCTGTGGTGTCTACTTTTTTGTCATTTTTGTTTTGCTCTGAGACAGTTTCATTGTCTAGCCTTTGGTGTGGCCATTGGGTGCTAAGATTAAAGGCGTGTTCCACCATGTCAAACCTGTGTTCACTTCTGTGACAGCACATGGTACCCTCGCTCTCTGAAACAGGCAATAGATGGTACCTGTCTGAAGCCATGTGGGAATGAAGGATTATTAACCCCCAGATTAGCAACAGATTTTTAGTTAGTGCTTCTGGGGTGACCAATGTGGAGCCAGCCTAGGGAACTGAGTAGCTTTATTAAATTCATTGTGATTCCTGAACATCTTGAATTGTGATTGTTATCATGTGTTGAACTGAGCCCAACTCATGAGGTTTTGAGATCGCTTCAAAGCAGAAAGCTCATGGTGGCCTCATTGCAACCCCTCATAGCCTTAGATTAACATGGGTTCCATGGCCAGTCCTCAGGAGAGTAAACATGGTCCAGATATCATGGACCATAGGCTTCTTGATAACGCAGGGTGTCTTTATAAGACATATCCTAAAACAGTGAGGGAAAAAAAGACTTAAAAACGTGATCAAGCCCAGGTGTGGTAGTTCGCACCTTAATCCCAGTACTTTGGAGACATAGGTGAGCAGATCTCTGTGAGTTTCAGGCCAGCCTGGGCTACATAACAAGTTTCAGCCCAGTCAGGGATACACAGTGAGATGTTACCTAAACAAAACAAAACAAAACAAAACCCACATGATCGCTATTAGAGCCTAGCCAGGCCTGGTGTACCTACCTGTGTCTCGGTGCCTGAGAGGCAGAGGCAGGCAGAGCAAGAGTTCAGGATTTTGCCACGTAGTGAGTTTGAGACCAACTGGGGCTACATCAGACTCTGTCTTAGAAATGAAATGAAGGAGAACAAAAATGAAAGGCTGGAACGAGAACCGCCCTTCTAGGCTGGGAGGGAGTTGGTGGAAGAAGCCTTTCTCCAGCGTTCATCATAGTGTGTCTGCCTTTTCTGTACTACAGCATCTTCAGGAGGCCCTACTACCTGTCACACTTCCTCCCCGCCCTGCTCACACCGAGAGTGGTGAGTGCACGCTTGTCTTCTACCCACACCTCTGGGAGATGCGTTCCCTGCCTGCTGCTCACGTGATTGCTCTTTTCACAGCTCCCAGAGGTTCCTGACTCCCGGGTGACCTTTATAGAGACTCTGAAGAGGTAAGCAGGAGCTTGCACAGAGGCTGCTCTGTGGCCAGTGGGTTTTCCTTGTTTTATTTTTTTTTCAATGGGTTTTAATAGGGCAAAGAGTTTGAGTTCTTTTGTAGAGAAATTTACCACACATGTGTTTTATTCTTAAGATATTGGCTCCAAGTGAGCGGAGGTGGTATCGCATGCCTTTGATCTCAGCACTCAGGTAGAGGCAGGTGGATCTCTGCATTTGAGGCTGGCCTGGCCTACAGAGCAAGTTCCAGGACAGCCAGGTCTACACAGAGAAACCTTGTCTTAAAAAACAACAACAACAACAA